TGTGTGTGTGTGTCTGTCTGTCTGTCTGTGTGTGCGCGCACGCGTGCGCACAGACACAAATGCCTAAATATGTTCAGCTTTGGAACTCCTTTAAGATTTTTAGCATTACTACAATGCAGAAAAATCGGGGGTGGGAGGGGTTGGTCAGCACATTGTTAAATTATTTTTACCTCAGTGTGAATGAGTGTCGGGTCCTTTTTGGAAAGCAGCACTAACAGAAGAGAGAGAGAAGAAGAATAGGGCCTTGAGGAAATAGGGGACAGTTCCATTTCCTGACTTGGAAAAGAGCAGGAAGAATTGCTTGAAGGTCTAATAATTTTACCTGGGCTAACCTAGGACCTCTCCAGCACTTTCTGCTAAGGCCTTTACGACTGATTCCTTCTTAAACTCTGGGATTGCTTTTGAAGTTTTCTCTTCTAAATCTGGTATTAGAAGTGACTACAGGGAGAACAATATAGGGAGAGAGGAGACAGTACAGTGAAGCAGTTTTCACATTGCGCCCCTTAAATTGGTTTAATCTGCCTTATTAATGTTAAAAATGTTTTTTCACTATTGATTTCAGCAATATTTCACTGTTGATTGTTATAGCAATTTTAAATAAAAATGAAAAACTTCATCCAGCCAGTAACCCTAATCTCCCTAACATATCAAACTTAATTTTTTTCCTCCTAGAAATTGCTGTATCAATCTTTTAACTCATACATAGTTGAAACTATACTGAAGTTACTACCTTGTATTTTAACTTATTATCACACTAGGCCTTTTAAAATTTGTATTGACTATTGAACTGGGGAGAAGTTATGAAGACTTAATGAAGGTAATTACTATTTCCAATGAGATTTTAGAATGATTAGAAAGTTGGCTTAAGGAACTTTATATTCTATTTATTTTTGAGATACAAGTGGACAACTTTAATATTTTTCAGGCCTCCTTGCCCCTAAAAAAAAAAAGAAAGAAAGAAAGAAAAAGAGAGGAGAGGGGGGAACAAGTATTTGAAGTTGTACCCATCAAGGAGCTGTTTTGTTAAAATTAATGTAGCGTATCCACACAATTGAATATCATACACAAATGAGGTAACTACAATGTGATATGGAGGGTTTTATGATATGCCCTTAAGTGAAAGAAGCAAGGTGCAGGATAGTCTGTATAGGAAAGGGGGAAATAACATATTTTTACTTTCTTATATCTGCACAAAAATCTCAGAAGGGGGAATTCAGGTAATAACAATAACTTGTGGGGTTGCTTGGAGAGTAGGGGCTCAGGAATGTGTGTGAGGTTTCTTAAGGTGTACCTTGTTCTTAAGGTGTACTCTGTTAGGTTTTGAATGATTTGAATATATTACTCAAAACCCAAACTAACATATTTCAAGAGTATTCTTTGTCTTTTAAAAGTCTGCACATCTATTGAATACATCTGTTGAGTCTTCTGGATCACTTCTAAAACAATGACGACTGGGCTTAGTAAACACTTGTCATTTTGGTGAGACTGTGTACCTTATCCACACACAAATATGTGTATAATAATTATGCTTGCCATAATGACGATGGATAGCAGTGTGTGCCACCTGCAAGGGCTTTGTAAGAAGTGTTGCTAGAAACATCTAAGCAGTTTAAGAAAAGTATGTACAGGTCAAGTTTATGTGGCAAATGATAACAGTTTGCCTCCTAGAAGTGTATTGATAACTAATGAGCAGCTTTAAACATTCACTCTTTAGTTAGCTTCTGGGCGTATCTGGAAAAGTTAACCCTCTAACATGGAGTCATTTTCCACCTTATATTTAATGTGGTTCTTTCAAAGTACAGTAGAGCTGTAGCAATTTTTTGTGTTAAATTTAGGGTAAAATCTAAATCTTTTGATGGATAAGACAGATATGCAGCAAGATACTTGCCTTTAGGATTTTCTCATATTCTGAGATTGTTTTTTAAATCAAAATGTAAATTTATATTAAATAATGTTATAAACATGTTTATGAAAAAATAGAAAATGATAAAAAGGTAGGATAGTCTGTGTGTTTTTTTAGATTCCCAACTCCTTAAAATTTACTACAAGAATGGCAAGTATTAAAGTAAATACTGTATTTATTTTTAGTTTAAGTTACTTTTGATCTATTCTCTTCACCTATTTTTTTTTCTCCCTCTCATTTTAAAAGGCCCTAGTGAAATATTTATGGGGCTAGGACTTGGAACTGTTCTGGAACCTTGAATCACCAGGTCGGAATAAAATTAAGCTATTGTTCTATTTATGGTAAAAGCCCTCGAATTGAATTCTCTAGTGCCTTTAAGCATATCACTTTGAAATACGGTCATTTCATCAAAATGG